GGGACACCCAGTTTTCGCGGGCTAGTCCTGCTTCCGGTAGTTCGGAAGGTTTGCCTGGTAGCGATAGTTCGCTTAAGGAACATGCACCCTCATATGTGATCAGCTTGCAGTAAAAGTCGCACCTGCAGCATAGAGTTGTATACATGACGTGCGATGTAAATTTGAAAGGGTGGTAGGAGGGGAAGTTGACGTTGAGTGTAAGCAAATGTTTTCCATTGTTACTTTTCGCCCTGTGACATATGACTTAAGAATGAGGGCACTTTCCGGGTTTTTCTTCCAAAAAGGCGTGGCAAACCTTTCCGGTTGACAACACAGCGAGGAAGAACTTAGAAAACCGATGGTTGGTCTCCACGACATCTCTCCCCCCGAAACGGCACGGTCCATGTGAAACACGAGTCAATAGCTACTAATAGCTTCTTGTCACTTGTAGGAATGCACTTGTTCCTAGTAGTGATGCACTTGCTACTACTAGCGATTCCCTTGCTACGTTCGCACCTCGTGTTGATGCCCTTGTCACATCGAGCCCCCTTTGCCAAGGAAGGCCTGGACCGATTTAGCACCTGACTCGAGACTGGACACGGAGTCCATTTCCATCTCGGACCCCAACGCGAAGGTGGGGAAGTGGACGAAGTGGGCCAAGTGCTGTTCCATGTTGGCCTCCTTGAAGAAAAGCAAGAGAGGCCGGAACGAGGTGCAAATTCTACCTCAGTAAAACTGAGAAACAACAATCATGCAGAATCATCTTCCACGCTCTTTTTTTGCGCGTGTGATCGTCCAACAGCCTGGGTGACACACGCTTGTCGACACACGCTTGTTGCTTCAACTGGCGCAAGTGGCGCTTTTGCCAAGAAACCTTGAAGCTTCGTCCTCCCCTGTGGTTTTCATGGAGAACTCATTAAGTTCCATCAACTTCTCCAGATAGACTGGTAGGGCTTCGCAGCCTTTGGATGCTCATTGCTGTTTTTGTGTTCTTTTTCCGGAGACCTCCATGGGGGCCAAGACGATGGGCTCGTCGAACGTCTATCGTCGTCTCGCCGGCTTACCCCAAAGGGGGGCCAGGCCCGGCCCGGCGCGGGCGCCCAAAGTCCCTGCTTGAAACCCGCGATTTTCCCGGCTCTTGTAGGGGGGCATGCCCATTCACAGCTAGTCCACTGCTAGTAGCTCGGGGTGGTTGTAAACCCTCGGCTTCCCCGTTCCGCTTTTGGCGGGCTTGACCGGAACTGAGAGCCCTTGGGCGACACAGCGGAGCAAAATCAGAAAAGAGCTGCACGCGGCGGTGAGCTTTGAACAAGTATGCTCTTGATTAACTCTCGGTAGATCCTTTTGTAATCTTTTGTATCCTTTTTGTTCAGTCAGACGGAGCATGTTCCTTCCAATGAAGGCCATTCTGCCAGCTAGCAGCTAGCATTTGAGCTTCTGTTCCACTTCGCTTTGGGCACCGACAACTCTATGGCAACTTGCACCGACGAAGAACCGATAGAGTCAAAACGGTTGGACTTGACTTGGAGTTTAGTTATCCAAAGTTTCTTTTTGATCAACACATGTCAACACCACTGAATGGCAACGCCAACACTGTCTTGCGATCGATAGCGAACGCATCTGCCAGGTCTGCTATCGCAGCTGCACCCAGGCACCTGGAAAGATTCGAAGGCAGCGGATGGCATGGCCACTTTGCATGGCCATTTTCCGAATACCACGCAGCTGGTGAACTCACTCCACTTTCATGATCAAACGCGTGTTTTTCTCGCTCCTGTACCCAGCTTGGTGACCTTTTCGTGCTTTCAACATTACAATCGAAGGAAAACAGGCATTTTGAAAGATATGGAACCAAGCAACGGTTTTTAATGTGAATGTTCCGACGCCTACCTTTGTTCCGACGCCTACCTTTTGTCCGTTGATTTGGGCCAACACTGCTCAACACTCCGTGTTTTCTCGAGGCCATAAAAACCACAGTGAGAGCAAGCAACCGAGGTCTTTGGCAGTCGCCAGTGGCTACTGTAGTGGGGGCATGCTCTCTTCAAGTGCAGGATGGTCTTTTCGTCCCGTGGAGGGCAATGAAGCGAGAAGGTATGCCATCACCGGAAGCAACTGGAAAGACCACACCCGATCAGTGAAGGTACATCTGGTACTTCTTTCGGAAAGCCAAAGAGCAGAATTGAGTCATGGCCGGCACTGGTGTTCATTGCGCGTACTTCTTCGGAAAACCATCCCAAAGGGCACACAGCCTAACTTTGAGTTTTTTTTTCCGTGAAGAATTTGAAAAAGCCATCCAGCGCAAAAAAGCGCGGGCGGCGGGTGGAGATGAAGTGGCCGGCGTGAGAAGGTGGTGGCTTTGGCTGGACAAAATGCTTTTGGAAAAAAAGCAGTGTCTTCTTGATGAAGGAACTGTGGGAGAGAGCATGCTTTTGGAAGCTTTTTGGTGAAAAGCAGCTCCAAATTTGGTGAAGAAGTGCCACAGGCGGGGCTGCGCAAATGAGATGCTCTGTCCATTTGTCAATCGTGTCTAAGTCTGCATGGTTGAACAACAGCGACCCCTGCTAGAGGAAAAGTATCGAAGGTGCTGTGACTTCCCTTTCACAAGCATTTGCAGCATTTGGCAGCGAAAGAAGGCGCTGAGGATGGAAAGAGCATGTCAGGGTTCACTAGTGACGTTGGGGTTTCTCATGCTTTTTTGTTACGAACGTAGCTCCTGGCCTTACTAGTAGCAGAGTCCGGAGCGTTTCGGGCATCGCTACGAGTCCGGAGCGGAGGCGAACCGCACGGGAGCGAACCGCATGTCTTGGCCGTTCGTGGAGTTTCCTGGCTCAAAGGGACTCGGTCATGACTCCATCCCGCCATGGCGCCTGGAGGCCTTCCAGACATTTCGGGCATGCTGCGGGCTTAGCTCCGGCTTCGCGCCCGCGCTCCGAGTCGCGTGATTCGCTGGTTCAGAACCTGCGGCCCTCCTGTAGCGTCCGATCGTAGCTCGTCGCGATGCGCTCGTCGCGATCGTAGCTCGTGTTTTCCGTTCATTTTCACTCACTCAGGACCTCCTTGAAGGCGCCATCGAAAATGGACATGTCTGCGGGCGCGACGGGCACGGCGCGAACATGAGAACTCGTCATCTGGTTGCTCTGAGTCGGCTTTGTCATGACTCATTTTACCTCGAACTGCTAGGGGTGGATGGATTCTGACTATCAGGTGGAGTGGTTCATGTTCGTCAAGTCACGGAAGTTCTGGCTTTTGATAGCAGCCCAAGTCTGCGCTCCGGGCGGCCCAGGTCGTCTAACTCGGTGGATAGGTAGGTCGTCCCCAAAACCTCGGCGCCAGTCTGGTCTCGCTAGGTGGACATCACCGGGGCCATTCCAGAGACTTGGACTGCCGATGAATTGCGTCGCAAGTTCGAGAGGTGAGGGTCGGAGTGGTCGGTGTCGGTCGCACCGGTGGTCCTTTTTGAAGTGGTTTTCAGGGCGGCGTGGCGAAAGGAACGCCAAGACCGGATGAATCACTGGTCCACAGGGCGTTTGAAGAGGCCTGCCCCTAATTCCGGGATTCCTTTTGGGGTGTTCGAAACAAACAAACCAGGAGAGAGGAAAATGAAAGGCAACGACCAGGAGATGGCGGAAGGCTCGATTTAATTATTGGAGGTGTGCCATACAGAGTAACATGGGGGTGACCAGGCCCCATGAGGGGTACCATGGGGTACCCCTTGTGGGCTTCTCAAACTCCTTCTTGATCCTTAAACACGGCTGGCTTAATTACTGTAACAACTAAAAAGTGATTGTTGCATCTAGTCAAGTCATTTAAGCAAATCACTGACTTGCTAAATAAAGGAAGAAATGACAACAAAAGGAACGGAAATGACAAGGAAAAGAAACGAATGTAGAGGAAAACCGCTGCAATAGGATGGGAGGAACGCTCGGTTTAACAGGGTGGATTTCCAGAGTGAAAGTTGCCTATTCGGGGGAATCGTTCGCTGTAATGAATTTGGCTATTGCCCATCAACTTTTGTGGACATGGCTTTGTTTACTCCTCCATAGCATTGAGTTGCAGCTCATTGCAAGTACATGGCCCACAACATGAGAATACCTCCGAAACAGAAAAAGTAATCGTGATCAGCTGAGTGAAGAACACAGGCAATAGAACCAAAGGAAATGTGTTCTAGATTTTGTTGAGGGGCTGGACTCTGCTAGAGGGCTAGCCCAACAGTCGGCTGTGTGGTTGAGAGAAAGTTAGCCAGAAGGAGTGTCGCTGCAAAGGTAGATAGGACTGATAGGTAGACGGGACAGTTGTTAGTATTTTGTAAAAACAAAATGCTTTGAAGCAGCCATTGGTCTAGCCAGTTGAAGCTGCATCGAATACTTCCAACAGCAACGACGTCCAAATGCCGTGCGAGTTGCCCAGTCCCAGAATCGCCAGCCCTCAAGTCAGCTGTGCCTTCACAGAACCATTCGGTTTGGTTTCCATGAATGATAGCTTCCAGAAGCTGATCGGTGATTGGGCTGGTTCTCTCGCATTTTTGTGAGCGATTGGTTTCCATAAAGCACAGCCTATCAGGCCCCTTTTTCAGCTTCTGGATTCGACGAAGATGAGAGCTTGCACTTCTGTCACAAATGATTGGGATAGCCACAGGCGTGCAACTGAAGTAAGTGGATAGAATCCAACACGCCACAGGCGTGCACACCAAATCCGCCCAATCCGCCCGTCATCCCACGACCAGCGTTCGCCCGTCGCTCAGCTGAATCGTTCCGGCTTGAGCTGCGAGTTTCGCCGCCGGGCCGAGCTGGAATTTGATCCTCGCTGAAACTCAAGAGCCTCCTTTGAAACATCCACAAGACAAACCTCCAGTCTTCACTGTTACAGGCTTTTGCATGTTGATCGGTCATCTCTCTTCGATTAAGGAGGTTTCTTCTTCACAGACGCGCAATCGGAGCAAGAAGCTCATGCTTCAAGCTCTGTAGGACATTCTGCATCCAAGGTTCCTGACCTGAGCCTTCAAAACAAGTTTTGAGCAGCCATTTTCCAGAACTTTTGCGCTTCAAACCCGTTTCCATTGCAGCTTTTTGGTCCGTCTGAACACAAGTAGGCGCCTACTTCATTAAGTAAGGGCGGGCTAAAAGAGAAACACATACCATATACATGTAGCTGCATTGCAGCTTCCTAATTTTGCAAACTTGAAGCCATAATTCTCACTGCCACGGTCAGTCGTTGTTTCTCGAAGCGCTTTTCAGTGCAGCGAATTTACTTCGCAGACAAGGCATAGAAGAAGTGCACATGAAAAGATAGTATGTCTAAGGAACATATTTGGTAGAAGTAGGACATAGATGCTTTAGAATGGTGGTCATTAGGTTATTATTTTGATCTACTCATTGAGAGGTCTGGCCAAAAGCAATGTTGTTGCAAGGACAAAAGGCCAACGGAGCAAGCACTGCAAGCACTGGTTCCGTCTGTCATTCACATCAACAGACGTGGTGTGTATTTTTTTGCTAGGCCTCCAAGCAATGAGTTTGGTCTTTGGGAGGTTTTTTCCATTGCGCCCCACGTGACGATCGTCCTTTGCGTCCCACGTGACGATGGCCTGACGCGCCAGGTTTGGTGATATTGGAGATGTGTTCATACCGCGGGAGAGGTTCTCCGACAGGCCGGCTGTAGGCGGCTGTGGGGAAGAACTGCAGTCAGCCAAGGAAAGCGACCCTTTGCCTAGAAGGCCATCGCTATTAGATTGGAGGCCATCCCTATTAGATTGGAAGCCATTACTACTAGGAGCAAGGACGCTACGAACGGGGCTCCTGACATTGCTACGAACGGAGCATTCTTACAGCAAGAAGCTATATAGTAACAAGGACGCTATATAGTAACGGTGAGCTTTTAGGATGTCAAGTTACTAGTAACAGGAACGAACCCCCCAACCCCCCCAACTCCGAACGCGTCACGACGAGGCCTAGGCCCTTCGGCTTCGTGCGCTTCATGGAAGACGAGGACGCCAACGAGGCTGGCTTCGGCGGCCGGCGGTCCTTCCGTCCGGGTCGGAGTCGCTGGACGCCGGTGGCGAGGCCATCAAGGAGATGAACGGCACCAAATTCGAGGCCGGAAGGGGTCTGAAATTCGATTGGCGGGTCACTTGGTGACAGAACGTGTTGAAGAACGGTGTTGAAGAACGGTTTGATCTTCGTTTCAGTCGGTTTCGGTCTTCGTTTCAGGGGTCCTGCAGTTCTTTATATCGGCTGTTGATCTCAAGTGCTTTGGCATCTGCTCAAGAGTCCTGGTCGCTGCTTCTCTGCGCTTCTAACTTTTCATGGAAGTGCTGACTGACAACATCTTTTTTTAGTCTTGCGGGTGGAAAACGGTCCACTCGCAGATGTTTCTTTTCCATGCCCGCAGATGTTCGCTTCATTTTTTTAAACAACAACTTTTCTATGAATCATCTCATCATGTCAGGAAGGATATTTTGTGCGAAACCACATTTTTCACCGCAATGCTCATCCCATCCCTTCCTGTTCATCACTTTGGAGCCTTGAAGATTGTCAAAACCCTGAAACGCCCTCCGTGGGCACTGCCGCCACCTGTCGCCAACGCGCAAACGCGCGCCACACCTTGACGTCAACATGTCCATGACCTCCCATGTCACGACGCTTTCTTCTCTCATCGTCGTGTCTGCGCTCCTTCGCCAGGGGAGCACGCTCACCGTGTCCAAGGCCAACCGAAGCCGTGAGGAGGCTCGCGCGGAGTCGGCGCGGGAGGATGGACGGTGCGGGAACTCAGCCTTGAGACTGGGAACGGCAGACAAGGCAAAAGACACCATTAAACAGCTGTTATAATGATATATTTATATTTTAACTATATATCACGAAAGCCAGCCGATAGGCAAGGCTTGAGTTTTTAGGGTGAACGAAGTGAATAGAGGGGGTGTGGGGGGGTGGTCGCGGAGGCGAGGTCGAACCTTGAGCCTGGTGGGGGAGAGCGTTCAAAAGTAGGGTCAGGAAAGCATCGAAAAAGTGGTTTGGTGATGCAAGTGATGTAAATGACGCCGAGTAGTGCATCATTAGCATCATGAAGGGGTCTGGAGACAATTTTTCTAGTCCTGAGCAGGGCATAGGGACTGTGTAGCTCTGATCATACCAAGCAACAAAGAGTGAACGCTCTGGGAGCGAACGATATGAGTGCAAAACTGCGGACGGCGGCCTATTTCCTCACACCTAGGGGGGTGCTCGGGCACTAAAGGATCAGTGGATGGACCACGATGTCGTGACATTTGCACGGGTCCCAAACTAGAAAATTAACAGTCTTTCCAGGAACGATCCGATACGAGTCCTTCACTGTATGTTGTGCACGCATGGTCGAGTGGGTTCAGTCCTTCTCGGCGTCGAACCTTCTCGGACTTGCCATCTCCCTCACAGGTAATGCGAAAGCGAAAACCAAGGGTCGTGTACATCACTGCTTGATGCTTTTCAGAGCATTTGGTGAGGCTATTGGCGATCATTGCTCCACCATGTACCCACATCAGCTTTGTGTTGCACTCTTCAAGGTTATCACGCAGTGAGATTGCCTCAATGTCAGCTCTCTTTTCTGCTCCTTTGACCACCACTGTAGGTCGATGAACCTTGTCGTACAGGTTTCTAGAGTCTGTGATTTGAAGTGCTGGTATATATCTTGCAGCTTCATTTGGAAGGCGTGGGTCAAGTGGTTGACCACACATCTCACTCCAGAGAACTCGCAGATAAAGAAGGTCATCCTCTGCTTCTGTGTTGGCCAAAGTTTCTGCACAGGCTGGGCTTCTGCACACTCGCTCAATTTTTGAGCTTCTCCAGTGTATTGGTGATATGTTTCTTTCGAGGCCCTCTGCTAGCCCCTCATCACTCATACCAATAAACACACCAGCTGTTGAATCTTTGCCGTTCGGCCTGTTTGCCCATGCTGCGTCTGCCCAAGCTACCATGTAGAGTTGCGCCTCTTTGTCAAAACTGTGAATCTTATATTCTTGATGTCTCCACTTCTTCACGGAACGAACCAGTGCATTTGTCTTGTTGATTGTTTCAACTGTCGCCACTGGAATCTCTGAAATCAAGAAATTGGTGTCCACAGAAAATAGAAAACAGGTTTGTCCGCATAGCCATGAAATGCTCCCCAACACTCCTCTCAAACAGCTCTTCTCAGAGTCGCTTGCGGCTAGTTGAGGTTGTCGTGCTCGATCTCTCGATTGATGTGGATTTTTTCAGTCTCTTCTATGAACCTTTGTCGGTTGAGGGTGATGCTGAAATCCTCATGTTGGGTCACCAGAATGCCACACTGTTCAAACTGTTGTTCCTCCCAGGTTCCCCAAGAGAAGGATTGTCGGAGTGCTTCCATCAATCTCTTGTGTGCTGGATTGTTTTTGTGTCCACCAAAAACAAAATCATCGACATGACCATGTATGATAGACTGCACTTCCTGTTGCTCATCTACGTACACCCAACAACATGGTTCGGTGATCAACCGACGGTATCCCAAGCTTTCCATGGTTGTGCAAACTGACCGGTACCACTGTAGCGGTGCCTGAACTAAACCATATGCTGCTTTTGTCAGTAGCATGGGAGTGTCATCGGTTACCCCCATTTCCTGGCAAATTTCTTTGACAGGGCGACACCAAATTGCCTCCTCCATGTCCTGCCCCTGAAGAAAGGCTCCACTGACGTCACCCTTCATGATGTGGAACTTTTTCCAGGCGCATAGTTGAAAGAAAAGTTGTCGTCCAGCCTTGCTTGGTGTTGGTGCCGCGGTCTTGTGCTGTTCATAGTTGGGATCTTGGTATCCCAAGATGATAACTCTTGCTTTTGCTTTGCGGCCCCCTTCATACTTCGGATCATATTTCCAGGTTAAAAGCCAACGCATGCCCACCACTTCCGACTCATTGGGAATGATGTCAGCTGCTGCCCGAAAACATTGTGCCGAGATGAAGTTCTTGACCTCATTGTTCTTAGCCTTTGAGAATTGTATCAGCTCCTCTGGTGTCAGTGTTTTCTCTCTCACCTCCACTTGTTTGCGTTTCAGCTTACTTGCCATAAACGCTTCAGGTGAACGTTGAAAAAGCTTCCACTGTCGATGGGAGTCTGGGATGTCAATCTCAATCTCTATGGTTTGTCTCTTGGCAACATTGGCATAGTAGGCGATGAGGTCTGTTTCTGATTTTTCTTTCTTCCGACTTCCTGAGGCCTCCTCAGAGAGTTCTTGCCTTTTTGTCCCCTTTTTCACAAGCGCCTTCTGGCGCTTAGCCTCCTGTTCATTCAGAGGCTTTTTTCTCATCATGTCGGCGACGGGGTGCCAGAACTTCTCGTTCCTCATACTGACTGTCTCCCAACATCTCATCATCCCCGTGTTCGAGGATTTGTTGCCACTCAGTCTCTGTAGGACATTCTCCTGTAATGTCATCAAAAATCTTCTTTGTTGCTGTCTGGCACAAACTTGTAATTGTCCATGGGAGTTCAACCGGTTGTCTCAACTCTTCAATCCAGGTTTCTGTTTGACTTGCATGTCGGAGTTGTTCTGGTGCTGCACGCAACAACTTGCCTCCTCGAAAAATCCAAACTGTTCCCCCAGGTCGAAGTACCCCATCATCATTACGTGTTTCTGTTGCTAGAACTCTTGCTGGCCCCAAAAATCTTCCCTTCTTGAAGCTGGTACGGTCTTCAGGTGGAAGTTGGTTTCTCCAGTAGTAGACCAAATCCCCCGGAACAAAATGTTTGTACGCTCGATGGCCCATGCGCTCTGCCCGGTCCAGTCGGCGTTTGTTTTGCTCATCCAAGAAGGCCTTCTCAGCTGTCTGCCGCAACTGGGTTTCCTCCTGAAAACCATTGTCCAACATGAGTTGAGGGTGAAGAGGGAGTTCCCGATCATCATGAAATGTTCTTGTGGTTGGGTCTGGCGACCTCCCCATAACGTACTGCATGGGACTGAACCCCCTGTAGAGTTCCCGACAGTTCGCCACCCACAAACACTGTGCCAAAAGGGTGCCTTCTTGAGCATCAGGAAAATCATCCCCTACTGCTTCCATCATGCCCTTGATGGTTTTTCCGGTTTGTTCAACGATTCCCAACTTCCAATGAGCTTCTCCTGGAATGACCTCCAAAAATATGTCTTTGTCTGCCAAATAGGAATCACATTGTTTGTTGAGAAACACTCCAGCAGGGTCGACTCGGATGGTTTTCAGCTTTCCAAAATAGGGAATCCAAAGCTCTTCTAGTGACTTTTGAATCTCTTCCCAGTTGCCCCGAGGTAAAACACGACCCACTGTGAAGCGACTACCCACATCTACCATCAAGAGGATGTCTGCCTTCTTTTTGTGTACAGGGTGCATGAATGTTGTGATGTCCATCTCCATCACCTCCCCTTTGTTTGGTATGCCCTCAAGTGTCACAAATCGTCGAGGATCTTGGCGTTTGCGATCAGCACATGTGGGACACTTCCAAGTTTTTGCGATGTCAACAATCTCTTTGTGTGAGCCCCGACGTTCCAAAGCCCTCACAATACTCTTCATGTCACAATGTCCTGAGCTCCGATGTATGTGTTGTATCTTGCGTTCCACTTCTGCCTTCTCCTGCTGAGATAGCACTGTGCTCTCGGATTCCGGTGCAGCCTCTGCTGGTAGAGCGAGGTCCTCAGGGAGATGCGATTGCAGCTCTTGAACTGTTTGTGACCAAACTTCTGACATGGAAAGACTGTCTACAACCTTCTTTGCAAAAACTGTTGTGTACCGCGCTGTGTGTGCTGTCTCGCCGGCTTCGCACTTTCCTTTGGGATGATTCTTTTGACACTGAAGGTTCATATGTTGTAGAAGGTGGGAGTTTTTGGTTGCTATCGTCCAAGCTTTGCACAACAATTTCTTCTGGTCTTTTGTCCGAAGTCCCACTGCACATCCAGCACAATTCACCTTTTCCAGCTTGTGACGTGAGATCAGCTCCACAATCTCTGGGAGTTGCCACGCTTCGCACTTCTGCGAAAACTCCCAGTGCACCTCTGTTTTCAGCCGTTTCGCCTCTTCCAACACTTGTATGGCACCCCCATATTGAATTCTTGCGCGATGTTGTTTGTCCTGCAATTGTTCAACTTGTTGAGGGTTTCTTTGATTGAGACGTTGTAGAGGAGAAAAAGGTCCACAAACACAGCTGATCCAGAGATGAACTGGTCGATGCTTACGGAGCATCTTGATGGCAAACTGTACGCCCTCCGGAGTCTCTAGATTGGCACCATTCCAATCGCTCAGCCTTATACTTGACCCAACACCAAAACGTTTTTCCACTTCTCCAGATAAAACACTGTCTTCATAACAAGCCAACTCCATCAATAAGGGTCGTTTGAACTGAGTAAGTGAAGTCCACGTTTTGCTGTACATATTGTTTTTGGGTCCCCAAAGCCGATGCAGGAGCTGAGCAGTTTCCTCCGGGACGATCGATTCGCTAGCCTCGCTCACATCTCTCGACGGCCTTTGTTGCGAGCTGTCTGACGATGCAGGTCGCTGTTCTCGGCCTCCAATGCAGCAATCTTCTGGCGGAGACGAACCTTCTCCTCGTCGGAGTCCATGTCGATCACTGGTTGAGATGCCGCTGCTGTCTCCAGCGCCTTGGCCTTGGCAGTCGCCTTCATGGCTTCCAATTGATCCCAATTGGACACATGGGGTGGTGGTGCTGGAGCGTAGCCGCTCTTGGACGCTGTTGGTGCCACCTCCTTTGAAGACTTTGGCATTGTCTTGGTAGGCTGAAGACTGAGGTTGTTGTCGTACTGCACTAGGCGCTCCATGCGCCAGAAAGGCATCTCTGCCTCTGCCACTGTCGTGCGGCGCCAGCGAACATAGTCGGGATGATCCCGAGTCACTTCTTGCATGGTGAGGTCCGCATGTTTGCCAAAGCCCACCTTCTCCTGACGGGTTGGCGGAAACTTCTTCATGATCGCGGCCTCGCCCTTGGCAAAAAGAACTGCCATGGTGTCGGACTTGTTGAAGGTGATTTGATTCTCCTCCAGGAATTCCTGGAGTGACGCTTTCTTGCGGGATGCCCGCTTCATGGCTGCAATCTCGGTGTGCATGTTGGCCTCGTTGGTCTCCTTGACTGACTCGGTGTACTCTGCCCAAGCCGCTTTGATCTGGATCAGATTCCACTCTTTGGGTGGATGAATGCCAGCCTCGTTCAGGCGAGCAATCCAATCGGCCTTCGTGGTTGGAGCTGGCATGCCGGTCACGGTGAGGAGACACTGCAAGGCAACGGGCTTCCGATTTTGAGCTGGAGAGATGCTGTGTGTGCGCATGTGTGTGTGTATCAGTCACTTCAATACGTTCCTGGCAAAACTGACAATGTTGCTCACACATTGAAAGAAGTGAGCGCTGTGGACATGTTGTCATGTCTTTCTCCCAAACCCCTGCACAAACAGAATCACTACCCCTAGATTCTAAGTGCAAATCACACGAACTCCCTTGACCGGATTTATTTCCGTCCATAGCGTCAAAGGAGCGAATCCCCTATTCACAATCTAATGACAAAAAAGGTGCCCCCCTTTTGGTGGCTCCAGCCAAGATGTTGCCGGTGATGGGCATCAGCAAATGTCCATTTTCAGCTTCTTTCAGCGGCACGACTTGACTTGGATCCACCTTCGTGTAAATCGCCTTGCTCTCGCCAAAATCAATGACAGCCCCAAGAGCCTTGAGCGCTTTGCGAGAGACCAAGACGGGTTGCCCTGGAGTATCATGCACATGGATCTCCATGTGCCCTTCTTTGCATCCAGCGCCCACTCCAACGGTCACGGTGGAGAGACAATCCTTCTTCTGGCCATTGCCGAACTTGAAGGTAGGACGACGCTGGAGGTCTATGGCCATTTTGGAATCTCCGGACTGCTGAATGTTGTTCAGCATGATCTTCTCAAGTGCCTCAACGGAGCCCAAAGATGAGGTGGCTCCTGAGTCGATGATGCCCATGCATCCCTCAAGAGCTTGCTCAGTACTGATGGCTTCATGGCATTCTTCACCCAAGAGTCCAGCCTCTTCAAAAGTGGTGAAGGCAATCTCAGCTGCTTCTTCATGGGCCACCTTGGCGTGTTGTGCCCTCTGTGGGCATTGTGCCATAAGGTGAGGGCCACCACATTTGAAGCACTTCTTGGAGCTCTCAGCAGTCCTAGCGGGAAAGGGCTTGGGAGCAAAATACCCCCTGCCCAGCTTCAGTTGCTTCTGCTTCCATCGTGCCTCTTTCAAGGTGGTCTTTTGGGCCGTGATGGCCGCCATGGCCTCCTCGATGCGCTCCTGCTCTGACCAATAGGCCTCCTTGGCCTCGGCATCCATGCCCTCCAAAACCTCGGAGTGGTCATCAGCCATGAGAGCTTCCAGCTCTGCTTCATCATCTTCAGCCACCATCGCACTTCCGCCCTTGAGACGGTCGCGACGAAGAAGGTCCTCATCGCTCCATTGCTCACGGAGCGCACGGCCAACGGAGGTCACCGAGAATTCGCCTCGCAGGGCTGCGAGGACATTGGCCCTTTCCTGAGTATCCAGGCCTGATCGATGCAGGAGCAAGAAGCCTGCCAAGAACTCTGGGATGAAGATCTCCGAGGAGGTGTCCCAAGTGGAAGGGGGCTCAAACTCAGGGGTCTTCCAGGAGTGGTGTGACCAATGCGACCAATCCCAACCCTCATGATGATCCCACCAACCATGGTGAGCCTCCTGCCACACCCCCTCATCTTCATCGTCTTCCCGAAGAAGACCATTGTCCATGAAGGGAGTACCCACCTGTGTCTGGCTGTGTAGTGAGCGTGGTGCGGCATGATGACCCTCACTCTTCACACTGCCACCATGTTCACTGCCAATGGTTGGGGTACCTTGATACCATGACCCCGGCTTCGACTGAGCTCCGAACTCCTTTTGGACCTTGCGAAGGCTCTGCGAGGCCTCCCAAAGTGCCTCCGAGTGCCTCGTGATCCAGCTGGTCATCGTCTCTTGCTTCTTCCGCTGGAGGTTGTAGAAGAAGCGCATGACGAACCGAGAGGCTTCGGGAAGGCTTGGCCGGGCAATTGTGGCCTCCAGGTGGTCCAGAAGGGTGTACACCCCCCTAGGATGGGAGACCCACTGCGGATCTCTCAGGGTCATGGTGCGCACCGACATCTTGGCGGTGCCTTCCAATTCCTTCAACAACCTTGGTCCAGCCAGGTATCGTTTCCTGTGCTCGAAGGTCATGAGGAATTGCACTGCCTCCTCCCTATACAAACTCATCAACTCTGGTGTGCCGTCAAACTTTGGCACACCATCGTGGGTCCGTTGGATCCCACGTTCAGCCATGTGCCTCGGGGCTTAGGCCGAACCTCAACGAAGAAAAAGGAACCAGGCTCCGGCTGCCATGCAAAACTGCGGACGGCGGCCTATTTCCTCACACCTAGGGGGGTGCTCGGGCACTAAAGGATCAGTGGATGGACCACGATGTCGTGACATTTGCAATGAGTATGTCCAGTTGGGCGAGGGTGAACTCAAGCCGGTACACGCGGAAGCGTTCAACACGATGCCCAAAACATTTACAACAGCAACAGAAAGGATGTCCTTCGGGCATTCATTATGTATCCACAGTATCTCTATACGGAGTCTGATTGTTTTGCTTAGATCTGGGGCATGCACAGATGAGGGGTATTTCTGGACAAGCTTTAGCAGGCTGCATCTCTGAGGCTTCGTAGCCAGCAAGCAAGGGGCGTTTAGCAGCAACTCTCTGTGGCCACGTGTGGAAGACTGAGACACGATGCCCGAAATATGGCCGACAACAGCGAAAAAACATAGTTCGGGCATCGGTGGGTTTTTTCGTGTTGGCTCACGTATTGTTACTTCTCAGTTAGCTACCTGCAGGTCCTTTGCAGTTCCTTGCACCTTCACCGACGTTTATTTTTACACGGATTCTCAAATAGACCACCAAGCAGGGACGCTCCAAAGAGCACCGCGCCAGGAACATCGAGAAAGCCAAAACATTCAACACTTCATGCTGTGCTCCGATCTTGATCTACTCCACGTTGATACAAGCTCCACGAAAGCCACAGGCATTCAACAATAAGTGCTCCGCTATTTTTTCCTGCCAGTCTCTCCTTTCTCAGGTGTAAAAAAAACCAATGTATTTTTTTTTACACTTGCATTCTTATTGGAACATGCACTTGCTGTTTTTTTGCGTGTCTGTGGGCAAGTGCCTGGATGTGGGTATAGCTCTCGCTTTGCCAAATGAAACAACGCGTCGAGATTTGCCCACGTGTGCTGTTTGTATGTCGTCAGGAAACTAAGCGCCAGTTTGTAAAATTCGGATTTGTGGAAGTTAGATAACTGCGAAATACAATCATCATAAAAGGAATCTCGGCAGTGACGGAGGTGGAGGCCGATCAGAGGATCTTGAATTCCTCGTCCTGCTTTCTGCGTCCTTCGTGCTGAAACTCCCGAGGCAGAAAAGCAAGAAGCGCTCCAGCTCGAGACGTCGTTCGCGATCCCGCCGGCTCCTTAGAGCCCGTTGTCTCAAGCAAGTGGGCCAAACACCAACGTGGTATGAACGACACGCGAAACACATGGCATGTTCGTTTCTACAAGGAATGAAAAAACTGACCAAAACACACTCCCTGACCTTTTTCATGGCAAAACTGGAGTGAATTCACCACCTCTTTGGTCCTCCGAGTCTTCGGGGGCCGCGCGTTCTGCGTCCGCCTCGACCCAGGCCGACGGCGCTCGTCCAGGTCATCACGATCACGGCCACGGCCGCGGCCCGAAAGCTGGATCAACGCATGGTATTCTTCGCAAAACATAGAGAAAGACAGATAAAAACGGTATATATTGTAATATATATATATTTGTATATACCAGCTGCTTCCGTTCGGGGTCACCTGGCTGGATATCTCCACACTAGTTACAGGTCTCCAGACAGGGCACCCCGACAGGAAGCGCTAGGTATATATATATATATATGGGTGTAATTTGATGATACTTCTGTGGAGTGTTGGTTGGCGCCACCAAAAAGAGCTAATTGCTGACTTACATCCCAAGTTGGGTTTCCATCGGCTTGTTCGCATGAGGCAAAGATGTGTCTCCAGTGACAGTGGAAGGAAGAGGAGAAGGTTCATGGGCGAGTTGGCTCCAGTTTTCTTTCTTTTGGATGATTTCGGAATCTTCAGCTTCAGATTTTACGTTCTGCAACATCGCCCAACCCTTTCATGTCAGGAGGCGGCGGAGTAGCAGTTTCCTGGCCCATTTTGGTCGCGTTCGAGTTCTGGTTCGGAACGTGTTGCGAAAGTTGACGTTGCAGCAATGGCAATGATTGCGTGATTTCAGATTTCAGATTCGATTTCAGATGGACAATTTCTCTCCCATGCTTGGCCCAACAGCTTTCTTCCAAGTTCCGGCCTGGTGGCCGGACCGTGCCTTCCAGCATCCCGAGGCAGCCGGAGCAGTTGACACTCAAAGGGGGGCCGCATCCGATGCAGTGGGAGGAAAAGCAGCGCGGCGCCGCTGGTTCGATGAGTTCGTGTTCCTTGGAGTGACCAAACAGGCCATCGCAAGCAGAGCTTCGACCCTCCAGGCCATCGCTACGAACGGAGCGATCGGACGCCCTTAGGTTGGAAGAACGACCGCGACGGGGTCCACCTCGAACCGCTCGGTTTGACGGAGGAACACATTCAGAAGGGGTTCATACATTTCATTCAGGCTTCTGGACGAATCCGATAGATTCGATTTTGTCTATTACGTCTACAAGTTTCGGAGAGGTTTGACAGAGATTTCTTCACCTTCCAAAAGGGGATCGTTCCACACTATGGATTCCCTTCACAGTTTTTTTTTCACAGGTTTTTTTTTTCAATTTTCCAACAGCCATTTTTCCTGCTTGTTGGAATGTTTTCTAGAAGATGCTTGTGTCCATGCAATTTCTCCTTTCTGCCAAGCTTGGGGATGCCGACTGGCATCCTCGTCCTCGGTGTGGATGAATCCATCGATTCCACCGTCCATCAGACCAGTGCAGTTCTCTCCGCTGCTCCCTTTGGGCTCGGTGCAGTTCTCTCCGCGGGAGACCAGGTGCCTCGCTCCCGGACCGGTCCGACCGGTACCGGACCGGTACCGGACCGGGTGCGGCGGGTGCGGCTGTGCAGGTGGAGTTTGTTCAGTTCGCTGAAGTAAGTGGATCGCTGAGAACGTCTTGAGAATGTGTTCGGGGTGAGAAGGTTTAGATGTTATGGGACTTGGGTTGAAAGGGTGAGTTGGGTCAAAGCCCACGGTTCTTCACCACCTCAATCTTTTGGAATTTGTAGGTGGATTAACCACCTTTCAAAACAAGAACTCTGCCAACTTTCAGGGATTCTGCACCAGCTTCTGTCAACCACTTCCTCCCTTGGCTTCGTTTGCGAGGCCAGATGGGATGGGGGTGCCTTCCACCCAGGAGGCGCCATTCGGTTCAGTGCCTCTAACCGGTCCAAGCGCACGCGGTTCGGACCGAGAGCGCCAAAAAAGCTTTTGCAGAAGTGGAAGGTCCAAAGAGAGGGACCTTTGAGAGGGACCTAAGTTAGATTCAAGAGTGATTTACGTGAGGAGACTTGACCGGATGCACGAGGTTTGGTGGAGTTGTCTTGAGGTTTGGTGGAGTTGACCAACATGACAGATTGAGTTGACTGGAGCGATCGTAGGTCGCTTCGAGGTCCACCGACTCCCGGTGCCTAGATCTCACGCCCATCCTCGTTGTGCCTCTGCCATCGACATGGTTTTGATCTCTTCGTGTAACCCTAATAGTAACAAGAAGCTACTAGTAACAAGTGCATCGCTTCTAGTAACAAGTGCCACGCTAGTAGTAACAAGTGCCTTACTAGTAGTAACAAGATGCGGTCTGGGTGGTCCATGACGCCTCGGTCCGGAACCGACGGCGGAAACGAGACGAGACGAACGCTGGAAAGCGGCACCTGTGGTTCGCACAGTGATGGAACCAAGGACATTGAAGCCCACTACGTAGCGCTTAACGGCAACGGCATCGGCAACTTCCCTAACTGAAGCTGTACAATGTTGACCGGAAGAGCATCCTTTACTCGCCCTCCCAAAACACACACGGTTCACCAACACATTGGAGGATTCAACTTTTTCCTTTTGGAATCCTTTTTCCAATCCTTCTGTGCTCAACCTGCGTCAACCTGCCCCATGAGTCAAAACTGCACGTGTCGGCTGACCGATCCGCTGAGAGAGAGCCCATCCGCACTCCGCTCCGCGTTGTCGCCACGGGACCTCGGAGGTGAGCTTTCAGGGTGGCCCCGTGCCGGTGAACGGACGCCAGCGCGTCTATCTAGAGCCCCGGCCGGTGAAGACGGATCGGATCCGGTTTCGGATTCGGACAGACCTCTGGTTTTGGTTCCGTCCGTGGCTTTCGGTGCTTTTCGGCGAATGTCTGCGGAGGGTTGATGTCATGGGGGGAATCAGAGGTGTTTCGTCCGAGGTGAAGTCCGGGACGTGGGTGTTTTCTTGGACTTTGGGAATGGCACCATCAGGGTTGCAGGAATGCATGTTGCATCCGGGATTTGTCCGCGGGCCGTTTCCTTGTATGTGGAATGGTGGTGATGAGGATACAGCCTGGGATCATGTCAAGACTTGGCAGCATTGAGATTCTGAACAAAGAGGTGACAAAAGACAGTAATTGTTCTGAACAGCTCGTTGATAGAGTCTCAAGACTTCTCTCCTTCTCTCTCAATCATCCAATTCCATGTATCATGTAAAGCTCCCAGTGTCACTGGGGGAGTTCATTGAGACTCATCGTGGAAATGACATCCACTGTGTCCAGTGTGAGATTTTTGACTCGTAGAACAGGAGAACTCTTGCCAAAGTACCCAACCTCACATTTCCACTTGCACTGTGTTTTTTCTCTTCTGTTTTCTTGCATGTGTGGTTTTTGGGATTTAGGGTGTCCACTTTTTTGGGAAGGCACATGGCCATTTTCCGGCCTCTTTTCCGGGAACGCTTCGCGGTCGAATCGGAGTTTAGAAGTTTAGACCAACCCACGAGGTCTCCACTCCACGTCTCCCAACCCAGGAGGAAGAGAAGCTGAATCCTCGCTTCCGGCGAGTAGAGCCCGAAGATGACGAGGACCGGTCAACGCTTTTGGTCGACCTAGGTGGGTCTACACAAGGGGGTCCAGACCCTCTGTTCATACCGGGGCCATACCCGGACCCTCCAATCCCGGCTTTTTGTTGGTGAATGGAGCGTCTGGGACCGTATCTTGCGTGTTCGGTTCTCGGCCTTCCTCGGCCTTCCGAGCGTCCGGTGAAGTGGAGCGTCTGGTGCCGCTCGTCGGATGGATGGATAGAGCTAAAATTCTTTTTTCCCGAGACGTTTCCAACACCCTGCAAAACACTGGGACCTTTCGGAAACCGTCGATCCCAGGCCAGGTCAGGTCGATCCCAGCCCAGGTCCGTGATACAACGGGATCCGGCGGTCAGGTCCGAGACAGCGGATGAACTTGTAGGGAGCTCGAGCCCCGTCCGGTTCGCGTCCGATCGCTCCGTTCGTAGCAATGCCAGGAGCCCCTACTCAGTAGCGAACCTTGTTCCTAGTAGTAAGGCCAGGAGCCCCGTTCGTAGCGTCCTTGCTCCTAGTAGCCCCAAATGTCTGAAACCTGCAAGCGATCCAGGATTGGAAGCAGCTCATAAGGCACGTGGATCCCCCCCAAATCTTGGATTTCTTGGCAGGATGGCCAGGGCTAGTAGAGGCCAGGTTGCTTTTGCTTCGAGCCTTCAAATCCTGCGAAGAAATCGAAGAAAGCAGGTTTGCCTCGGACTCCATAAAGCGATGGTGTGGGGAGGTGCGCGTGCAGGGCTCCAGGTCACCTATCGTTGAGAGTGAGAAGAATGAGGCAGTGTTGGACGCTGCAGTGGTTGCACAAGTGGTTTAGAAGGACCCCGATAAACAGACATTCTTGGGTGCCAGTGCCATCTACTCTCAATGGACTTTTAATCTTTTCTTCATTGCATTTGAGGTCATCAACCAGATCGAGCTTTGAATTCTCTTGGAGTGGTCATGTCTTCGCTAATAAAAGGCAAAGCTCAAACTTAGCAACCTCGAGATCCCAAGAAACCGCCATACACGGCAGACTCAAAGACTGACTGAGTGATGCAATTCGTGGGAATGCCTTAGGATTTATTCCTTCGTTCCCTACAAGCCGCATTCTCCGAGTCTTAAGTCCCTCCTGCACAACATGGGCATCCAAACATTTTGAATGAACATCAACTGTAGCAGAGGTGGTGGAGGAAGCCGTGATGCTGAGATCATGTTGGGGCTGGGCTCAAGGTTGAAGCAGTGGCAGAAGTAGAACTCCGGTCTTTGCCGGCGCCAAAGGCGTCCTTCGAGGCATGGGAGCCAGACCCAGCCGCACCGCAGTTGTCGATAGCACCGAAGGTAATTCCTTGGTCGAGGAGCTGAATGTTGCTCCCAGCAATGTGGAGGTCGATGCTGTTGAGAAAGCCACTAAACAGGACATAAACAGCTATCCGCACAGCACCAAGGACATGCTGCACATCAAAGCTCGAGTGGCCAGGGCATTTGCTGAACTGGGGCCTGATAGGCTCAGCGATAAGGGTCTCAGTGATTGTTCCTCACATTCCAATGAGAAGAATCTGAAGAAGACCAAGCTGCAAATTCCCACATGTCCCAAGCTGCAACAGGCAGTCTTGCTTTGTTCTTCGATTTGCCACATTTGTCACTGGTTTGTGGCAGTGCTTGGTGGTGGATTGCTCTTCTTCTTCTACTTTGTTTTCAATTTTCATTGGCCTGTGGCGGCAGCAGCTGCCCGTGTGCATTTCAGGCTCGAAGGCTGCACCACAAACTTGACGAATGTGAATGTTTCGTGCCAATATAAGCTCAGCGTGGGCCTGTCTCGGATGGATCGATTCGCATCTGTGGCACCGGAGGATATTGTCGCGCTGCCACAGTATTGGCCCACGATTGAAGAGGAGGACACTTGGACGAAGCACTTGAAGTGCTGTTTGTCTAACTTTGAGTTTCGACTTTGGAGTAGGGCCTTTGGACGGGGACGGGGGACATGGGTCAAAACGAAGACGAAGGAAAGACAGTATAGAAAGGAAAGGAAAGGCAAGGGAAGGAAAGAGAAGGAAAGGAAAGGGAAGGACATGGAAGGAAAGGACAGGAATGGAAAGGGAAGGGAAAGGGAAGGAAAGGAAAAGGAAGGGAAGGAAAGGAAAGGAAAAGGAAGGAAAGGAAGGAAAGGAGAAGGAAAGGAAAGGGAAAGGAAGGTCTTTTGGGGAAACGCAGAATGAATCAAAAGGAACAAGTACAGAACTTGTCCTAGTAGCGTCCTTGCTCCTAGTAGCGATGCCAGGAGCCCCTAGTAGCGATGCCAGGAGCCCCTAATAGCTTCTTGTTATACTAGTAGTAAGGCCAGGAGCCCAGCATGAAGAGCCAGACACGTCAGACACGTTGGACTCGCTGACGGCTTCGCCGTCCCATCCCGTCGGCCCTCCAGGGGTTCCCGCGCGAGTAGGGTTCGGTGTAGCGTTCGTAGCGATGCCAGGAGCGCCCCGCCCCGCTCGTAGCACGTCGCGCGGTGCGGCCGCAGTCCGATGTTCCACCTCCGAGTCCGCACGAGAGAGAAATGTCCGAACCAAATCATGAGCGCAAGCTCCTGCGTCCTGTCGGTAGTAGCTACTTGAACCCTTGATTAAGTAGGCGGCGCCTACTTACTTAAGGAGGGGGGCGGGAGCGGGCTAAAAAATAGAGACACCCGAGGTCCGCACCCATGTCTGCCGCCTTCGCACCCGAATTGGGGCGGCGAAACGTCTGAGGCGCGTGGCTGGAGCAGCGAGTGGCTCATTCTGATCCAGTGCCTAACAAAGAAAGAGGGGCTACGCTGCTGGGAAGCAATGAAGACCCTTTTTGGTGGACGGAGGTGCTTTTTCAGTATGGAGTCCAACCTTTTTGGTGGGGGAGAGATCTTTCGGCACTCGGGAGAGCCTCCTCCCTCAATTCATGTGCATTTCCTTTCAGGCGCATGTTTCGACTACAGGGACATCTTTGCAGAAAGCTCCAGTGGCCTTAGCCTTGATCTCCAAGGGAGCATGGAGAGACGCTTCGCAGAGAACTTCATAGGCCTGGATTACCAGTGCAGTGGTTTTGGGGAAACTTCTTCTTCTTCTTCTTCCTCTTCTTCTTGTTCTTCTTCTTCTTCGTCGTCGTCGTCTATTTTTGCAATTTTTGGTGCATTTGTTGGATTTGCTCCGTCTAAAGCTTTCCAGATACTTTACGGTGACAGCTTGTCCAACATCTGTTCCTTGTCTATTTGCACATCTTGCGTACGAGTAACGTGTGCTAAAGTGGATGTTCGATAACCGACTGAACGCGGTGCCATTTTGGATCAAGACCTGGACTCCCTTGTTCTTCTCCAATCCTCCTTACACCATGGACCGTGGCAGAAGGGCGCCCTCGAGACCTCCGAGCAAAGTCCGGAGAGTGGCTCTTCAAAGGACCAGCGGTATGATGGCAGCCGGTGCATGGGCGGCGAGGCTTGAGACTGCCAGTCTCCTTGAAGCAGGAGCAGATCCAAACGATGTGGTCGATGCGATACGGTCCTTCTAGGCGGACGAGGTGATGCTAAACGACCAGCCTCGCCAGAGCCAGCTACTTCGCCTTACGGCCCGCCAGTACGTCTTTTTGGAGAATCCGGTTCGGCATCAAAATTTTCAAAGCCTGCCGCCCCACCACGAGATGGAGTCGAGACCGTAGTGGTCCGGGAAGGAGCGCAGATGAATTGATGAATCTGCAGGCATCACAAGGACAGCCAGGCGGGCAAAAAGCCGAAGAGAAAGTGACCTTCGGTAAGCCAGCTGCTCCAATTTGAGAGGAGTGGGATCGAAGAGGGAAGAAGTTTGATGTCCCCCTTGTGAGAGGAAGCGCCCGGAAGAGCAGGATCCTGAAGCGAGTGAGGTCTACCTCCCCTTTCGTCTCTACTATGGGCGTCAAATCCTTGGACCCCCAGCTTCTCGAAGAAGGTATAGATTTCGGACGTCTTGTTGAAGCATTTATCAAGATCGATCTCCTCCTGCTCTTCCAAGGCTTTTGCGTATCATGCAGTAGGAGGTCATTGGGGTCGCGCCAAGAGACTTTCAGATTACTTCGTGAAGTCCAGGGAGCTGTGCCCTGAGAGAGCCCCACGTTCGTCAAGCGTACCTTGGCAGCCCTGCAGAAGACTGTCCTCGATCCATACAAGCCGCTGCCCGAGAGGATTGCAGCCGGAAAACTGAGGCTCTGTGTTCAAGCTTTCATCAGGTATAGTGACCTGAAAGGGACGCCAATCGGATGCCTCGAATGGGTCAGGAGACCTGGCGAGGCAGAAGTTGTCGGTCTACGCGCAAGGACGTTGAAGGGCAAGAGCGGACCACGGTTGTGGGTCGCGTCCTTGAGGGGAGTTTCAGAGGCAGGCGATGGGTGGCTGAATAAGTTGACTCGCTTGTTGCTCGAAGCTCATGGCGATAGATGGGTGAGCGACGATCGCACGGGAAAGCTGGCCGACGTGCAGCTTGTCAAAAAGACCCTTGGAGAGTATAAACAAGAAGGCTTGGATGTTGGCCTTAGTGATTTGGGCCTAGGGGGTCTCAGGTGGCATGGAGCAAAGGCTTCACTGTCGTCCTTGATGCAGCGCCTGGAGTTGCCAGCCCGGGTGATTCGCTTCCAGAGAAAGCCAAAGCCATGGTCCTCCGAGCACAGGAACAGTGCTTGAGTTATCTCCGCGAGCTGAAGGCGATTTGAGTACGCTCCTTGGATCCCCTCTTAATGAGGGAGGGAACCCGCCTTCTGAGGCGGAGGACAAAGCCTTTGTCCGCAGAGCCATGGAGCAGCCGCCGAGGTTTCCTGCCAAAGTCTCCGGACTGGAGAAGAGCTTTCTGTCCGATGAAGGCGTCCTCAAGTCCGAAGCCAAGAAGCGCCAACATTAAAGACCTCGACAAGATGCTCCTCGAGACGGACGTGATTGCAAAGTCAGAGAGCACCGCCTCTTCGGAATCGGAGGGAGAGATCAACAGGGCACTGGAGAAGCGGGTTTCGGACAGGTAACTATCAAGAGGAGCTGGACCAACGAGACACGGAAGGTCCGCGTCCTGGTGCAGTCTAGCTCTGGGGCTTCATCTGCTGGCTCTCCCGCTTGGTTTCAAAGCAGACGATGATCTTCCATGTCAGGCCGCTCCAAAGTGTGGCATCCACGGCAAGTTCGAGTACCTCAAAGCAGACGATGCGATGGACGCAACAGTCGGCTTCTGCGTGAGGTTTTCGCCGACTACTGACGAGAGCTTTTGCAAATTCATTCGTAGTCATATGGCATTGGGCGAGAAGGGAGCTGTCCCCTTCAGGTGCGTCCAGAGGTGTGGAGGAGGCGGACCAGATCACACAGATCATTTCTGCCCTCTGCGTATGTAGGACGATGCACAAATTGACTGGACGGCGGTCGACCCGAGCAGATGGCAAAAAGTCAGAGCAGTCTTCCAAGTGCGCCTCCAGGTTCCTTTTGATCGGGTGAGTCAGAAGTCTGGAGGCCTCAGGAACTTGGCAGTTCGAGTTGAGGCCCGTCTGCTTTGTGGGGAGCACCGGGGGCATGGGACCCAATGGGGCCGCAACGCGTGACCGCAGCTGCCTGGTCTCCAAAACCCTGCGCCGGGATCGCTGCCCTTGGAATAGAAACCTCAGAAGCTTTTGCTCTGAGAACCCCATCCAAGGAGGACCTCGAAGGAGTTTCTGAAGTCTACCTTGTGCCCATCAGCCGCCTATATGAGGGCGAGGATGTGGGAGGATGACCTGAGAAGACGCCAGGTCATCCATTTCGTGGATAACGATTCAGCGGCAGCTAACCTTGTCCGTGGAAATTCCCCGAAACCGGATTCCTGCCAGCTTGTGGGCGAGAATTGGACCTTAGCCGCCCGTTCCGGCATCGATCTATACCTAGATCGTGTTGAGTCCAAGTCCAACCTGGCAGACGGCCCAAGTCGACTTGAGTTTGCCCTCATGCGCTACATGGGAGCTTCTCCATCAGTAGTGAAGACATCCGTACATACGGCTCGGTCTAATTTTTAACTTTTGTTTTTGATGGGGCCACACTGCGGCCGCTCCCGCAGTCTCGCTGGATAGTCCACAACCAGACTTCGGGATACCAAGGAAGGCCTGCCAGGAGAGCTATGGGAATCCCCTTCCTCGGTCTCCCTGCGGTTGAGTGTTTTCCGGAGAAAACGGACCAGCCACGTCGCTCACGGCTGAGATCCGTTTCCCGGTAGATGCTTGGTCGCATCGGAGAAAGAACAAGCGGCAGCTTGGTTCCCTTATGGAGCGTTCAAGGTAAGAATATCAATTTATTTGCAGTTGTTATTCTATCGGGAAGACTGTATTTGTGAACCCCGTGTGGGCCAATGTATACCTGCATGTTCCAACTATGCAAATCTTCTGCCAAACTTGGCTGGTTTTGGAGATAAAAGGGCAGACATTTGCACAGTTGGAAGATCTGCTCACTCGGCATGAACCTGGTGAGTTTGAAAAGCTGCCCTCCGGGGGATTCCGAGGAAGAGTCCAAGTGAACCGATTCCGCAGCCTGGTCTTCCTGAACAACCCTTGTTGTCTCTAAGGATTTTACATGACCAGCAAACGAACGCTCTTTTTTCCAGAAAAATGTGCAGGGTTTGGGACCAGGGGCGGGTCGAAACGAGCTTTCCAGAACCCCCCCCAAGTCCGATTCCGTCGGGTCCGATTCCGTCGGCCGGTCCTTCTCGAAAGGTTTCCGAGACTTTGCTCGGTTTCGGAGAGTTGGGGTCTATGCTGTGTTGCTCCTAATAGTAAGAATGCTCCGTTCGTAGCGATGCCAGGAGCCCCTAGTAGCGTCCTCTTGCTCCTAGGAGGCTCTTTCTTTGGAAAAAAGGGCGACCCTGACATTCTCAACTCTCCACAAGCAACAAGAGCACGGACACAGCGACCTGACGCATCATGCAAGAAAGCGTTTTGGGGTACACTCCCACTCACTCACATGGAAGTGGAGTTCACCCTCTGTTCGCAAAGGAAAGCAGTCTTCCGGACCATGCCATCCACATCCATAGAACGTGAGTCAGAGTGTGGCTGAGAGAAAGCCAAAGACCTTTTCTCCTCCCAAGATCCAATCGAATGGACGTCGATCGAATCCTCCTCGGTGCAGGCAATCCCTTGGAAGAGATCCATTTCCACAGCTCCTGTCTTTCACTCAACATGGAACCCTACTGGACTCTTGGAACTCTAAGCGAGAACTCTTTCTGGCCAATCTTTCAGTTGGGAATCTATCTATCACTTTTCCAAGAACTCTGCGGCGTGTTTTTTCTTTTTTTTTTTATTCCCCAAACAGTGTGGGCACACTGAGGGGTTCTTACGGTAGGGGAAAGGCAGCTGATGCTTCAGATCGCTGAAGCGCGCGGGCGTGTGCGGCTGATTGGCTGCTATTTACAGTACATTCATGGTTCTCGACGTCGTCAATGTGCATTTCCGACTGCGCAGGCTCGCAGAATCTGGGTGTCCGCGGCGGGTGCTTTAGCGACTGCGCTCTCGTTGTGGCGCCGTGCGCATTTTGGTACAAGGTGGTCACTTTTCGTGGCAGGCGCAAGGGAAACCTCGTGTTTCCAAAGTCGAGTTTTCGTGACAGGCGCAAGGGATCGGAGCTGTTTTACTTCGAAATGCAGTTTTCGTGGCAAGCGCAGCACTTTGGACATGGTGGTGATCGTCAAGGAGCTCAGATTTGGTGACAGGTACAGTGAATCGTGACTTTTGGATATGTGTCTCGTTTGCAGATTTCGTGGCAGGCACAGCGCTCTGTGACCCTCGATGTGCAGATTTCGTGGCAGGTGCAGCGCTTTGTGAACCTCGAAGTGCAGATTTCGTGACAGGTAAAGCGCTTTGTCAACCTCGAAGTGCAGATTTCGTGGCTGGCGCAGCACTTGGTGAACCTCGAAGTGCAGATTTCGTGGCAGGTGCAGCACTTGGTGAGCCTTGCAGTGCAGATTTCGTGGCAGGCACAGCACTTGTTGGTGAACCTCGAAGTGCAGATTTCGTGGCTTGTGAACCTCGAAGTGCAGATTTCGTGGCAGGCACTGGCAAACCTCGAAGTGCAGAGTTCGTGGCAGGCACAGCGCCTGGTGAACCTTGAAGTGCAGATATCGTGGCAGGGGCAGTACTTGGTGTTCTCAGATGCTCACTCTCTCACTCTCCCACTCTCAGTCTCCCACTTTCACTCACTCACACTCCCTCACACTCCCTCACACTCCCACTCTCACTCTCACTCAGACTCGCACCTTCAGTCTCACTCACCCACATTCACTAACACCCACCTTGACTCTTACTCAGGCTCACTCACACTCACTCTCACTCTCACTCACACTCCCACTCACTCACACTCACTCTCCCGCTCTCACTCACACACACTCTCACTCGCACCCACTCACTAACACCCACCTTCACTCTCACTCGCGCACACTCTCACTCTCACAGACACTCTCACCCACACTCACACTCGCACTCACACTCACTCTCCCACTCTCACTCACACTCACGCTCCCCCTCACCCACACTCAGTCACACCCACCTTCACTTCATCACCACCATGACCTCTCTGGACGCCAATGCGTCTAGATCTCTAGACTTTCTGCTTACAGACCTCACACACACTGTTTGGGGTCTGGTATATTTTTTTCAAGATGGTCATGTTCTCTCAACAAACCGCCGTTTTCCCGAGCGCGTAAAAAGACCGCGTCGTTTTCGCGGGTTGAGCGCCTTCCAGCGTCCTGTGACGCCACTCCACCGTGTGTTCAGAAAGAGGAAGGAATTGCTCCGTTCGTAGCGATGCCCTTTGTTACGTTCGTAGCTTCTTGTTACTAGTAGTAAGGCCAGGAGCTACGTTCGTAGCGTCCTTGCTCCTAGTAGTGAAGGTCAGGTGAAAATTAAGTGCTGTATTGTATGTCTGTGGATTGAACACCTTTAAGCAACAACGAGAGGACCTCTTCTGCACAGGTTGACCCCTTGCATTTGCCAAATAGTGGAAGAAACCATTGGACCGCACATTCCAAACAAGTCGCAGTCATCAGAGGTTACACCGTCCACTGACATGCCTTGCTTTGATTCAGATGGCCAGATGGCTTTTGGCGTTCGTTTTATCTCTGCTTGGATCATGTGCCAATGTCGTTCATCAAGGCCCTTGCCCACATAAAGCACACTGTGATTGTCGAAACATGCACAGGGTCAATCAGTCGGACTAGGGGGATCCGACCAACACCTTTCGGACCTCCCTCCTTTCGTCATTCCACAGACGGGTTGACGACATACAACCCACATATCCAGCAAAAGTCTTCTTGGAGGCCATCGCTAGTAGGTTGGAGGCCAGGTTGGAGGCCATCGCTACTAGGTTTGAGGCCATCGCTAGTAGGTTGGAGGCCATTGCTCTTGTCCAAAAGATCCCAATGATGTCCATCATCTCCCATATTAAAGTTTAAATTAATTCTATTATAATTCTTTTTGTTACTACTAGTAAGGCACCTGTTACTACTAGCGTGGCACTTGTTACTACTAGTTCTAATTACTCAGTAGGAAACTGTCTTGCTTGCTTTCCAAATTCCCGCTGTTCTCGTTGCGCCAAGTGTTTTTGAGAAGGCCCCGAAACTCGTTCCGCTGTTTCTTTCTTCCGAGGAATCCAGTGGAAAGAGTATACAATTTGATTCCTAGCTGCACCTGGTCTCTTTTGTAATGGACGGAGGATTCCGTTCGCTTTCCGAACCATGGAGGTGGATGTTCTTTTGAAGAAAGATGTCTCACCTGGCTCTCAAAACTCCAATTTCCATCCTCCCCGGTGTCGCCTCCTGCTTCACCGGGGGCAAGGGCAGGACCGTCCGTCTGCGGAAAAAAGGACACCAACGGGCGGAGCACCTGCCCGGCCAGTCTGCTCGGGTGCGGTTTCAGACTCCCAAGGGATCCCAGGGTGATTTCTTCGCTCTTGCAAACTTCACATTTCCAACGGAAAAGGACACATTTAATTTCAATGAACAGACATTCAAAGGGTGTATGTATTCTAAATGTCACATCCTTTTCCAGATTTTTGTTTTTTTTCCCGCAACCAGTGACCTTCTGGAAGAATTGCATGCGCCGTCTCGTGGATGTCCGCGCCGTCTCGTCCTGGTGGACCCCGTCGGGACGTCACCGCGGGACTGGCCCAGTTGCGGTGGCGCCGGCGAGGCGCGATCGGCCGTGGGGAACCGGGATGGGAGTGGAGAGGAAGACGAAGATGAACTGGAAAGCCTCGAACTGCTTGGGGGTGGATTGATTTATGCCTAATTACTAGGTGGAGTAGTTGATTTTCGTGAAGTCACGGAAGTTCCGGGGGAGGGTTTGGTTCGGAAAGGGTTTGGCGACTCCACCAGGGTGCATCAGGTCCATTGCGACTCCACCCAGCTGGGAGAACAAAACACCATTGCTCACGTCGCTGTTCTAAGCATGTTCAAAGGGTGTCGCAAGGTGTTTACCAATTGTTTTCTCGCATCCTTTTCATTTCTTTTCCGCCCCTGGAGATGGTGAACATCGCACCAAAACGGCGCCCATGTGCGCAGCTGCTGCAGCTGCAGCTGGTGACCTGTATCCCAAGTCAGACCTCATAAAATACTGGAGATGGTCAGACAAAAACCAGTACTTACCTCAGGTCAGTTTGACCAGGTTTAACTTGGTCCTTGGACTCTGTTCTGTAATCCTCACACGTTCGGTTTTCCGTTGCTTTCACAGAGAACAGTGAGCGTGAGCTGTGCCTTTTCTTGAACCAAGGGTACCTGTCAGAGTCAGCACGGTGAAGCGGAAACATGAACTGCGGGTCAGGGTGCCGGGTCTGGCCTGGCATCTGATAGCGATGGCCACCCTCATAGAAGGATCCGAACTCGTTCAAAGCCCCGCAACGAGGATCAGTCTTTCGGTTTTTTTGTCCTTTTTTCGTCCATCTTGACGACCGCCTCGCCCGAGCGGTCCGAGTGGCGAAGGGAGATGGGCTTTGGGGGAGCCGAGTGGCGAGCGATCGCGATGCCACGGACGTTGCAGTGACAGAAACCAGAGAGGGACAGGATTGACGAAAGTGACAGAGCCAGGCAGAGCCACAGAAACCGCTAAACCTAGCCAAACTCCAGAGAAGAGATGTGCTTTGCACTGAGAACGTCAATGCCTTGCAACTTCCAAATCCATCCGAGGGTACATCTGAACATGCAGACGGAAGCGTGCAGTGACTTACACTGCGCGAAATGAGTATGTACAGTCGGAGTGTGGGCATGTTTCTTGTTCTTTTTGCTTGCAAAGGCGTCTGATACCGTGGAGCAACAGGAGGCACGGAGCATTTTGTTGGGCAGCCAAGCACTGTGATATTTTTGGATTTGTTTTGTTTTTTTGGTTTGTGTGTGTGTTTCGGAGAAGTGGAGCCTGAGAAGTGGAGCCTGAGTCCATGGAGGATTGGTGCTTCGCCTCACTACGGTCTATTTTTTAAGTGTGAGAGTTGTCCTTTTACTTTCCTAATCTTATCTTGAGGGAATATCTGTAAGATCAAAGGGGATTGGGATGGATTGGGCCATTCTGTCTAGCACATGTGTTTGGGAAGGCGGGTCGAGTATAGAGTTACACTTTTTTTTCTTTTTCCGCAGGGCCTTCGGCCAAGTGCAATGGTTCCATCTTTAAGGTCTCACCCGGGCAGTTCGGAGCCGACCTTGGCTAACGGCACTGGCAGCTGAGAAAATTCAGGGTCCCACGATGAGTTCGGGTTTTCAGGAGCAGAACATGCTTGCTTCCTGCTTTCCAGTATACGCAACAACGGAACTTCAGAGGGCGCCGTTTTCGCCACAGGCGCGCTACGTGACGGCGAACGCTCGCTCACCGGAGTGGGGGCACCGGGGATGGATGACCTGAAGTCATGGACGACCTGAGGACAGGTTTGAACCCAAAACAGCAGCTGAGCACGGTGGAAGGGGTTTCGCAGCCCCCCCTTTTTGTGCTGAAGAAACAAAACACTCAGAAGACGAACGAAGATGTTCTTGAAAGGTCTGGCTGCCTGAAATCGGGTATATAACCCTCCTCGCGTTTTCAGAAAAATGGGTCAACGTGGCGTTCCTGTTTCGACACAAGGATGTTGATTTCAGATTTTGTTTTTCGGCTTTCAATTGACCACCTCTTCAATCAGAACGAGCAGTCTTTGACCCACCAAGGAAGCGCAGTTCAACGCAGTCGGCCGTCTCCATTCAAAGCGTCTTTTCGACGGTCTCCGAACTCACGGGGAGTGGCCGGATCAAGACCAAAGTCGCACAGACTATCTCCAGCATGAACAGCGCACTTGGGATGAGACAAGACACGTGGAGAAGATATGTGTTTTTTGTTTTTAAGGAGTTCCGGCTGCAACACATCCAACAAAAAGGGGAACTGAAGAGTTTAAGAGTCTCCAAACGAACCGATTTCTTCGATGCGGATCTTCGTCCCAAAAGAAGGGCGGCGGCGGATTCGATCCTGTCTTTTTGTCCTATTCTTGTTCACCATGTTCGCCCAAGCCGGCGGGCCCAGCCAACATGTTCAATTGGCCATGGGGGCCCCATGGATCCTATGCCATCGGAATTCAACCTCTCTCTCATTCCATCCTTCCCAAACCGTCTCAATCCCTCTCCTGAACACCAAACCCGTCCTGGACGGGCCAAACCGGTCCACGATGGGTGGATCCATGTCGATCGACCGAGGACGCATCCTGGGCTTCCAGAACATTGCCATGGCACACCGGATGTGCGGAAGCTCGGGGAGACGTGGCCGAGACGTGGCCGTGACGTGGCCGTGACGTGGCCGTGAAGATGATCTGGTCCGTCGTGGACGTCGAGGATCGTGGGGAGATGGAGCACGAGAGACTTTTTGGAAGAAGCAAGCGAAACAGGGGTTTCCTACTTTCATGAAACAGCTGTCTCAAACAGGGAGGTTTCGCGTCTGTGTCTTAAACAGGTGCGATGCGAGAAATCGCCGTTTTTCAGATGCGCCATCGAGCCGTTCTTCCTCGTTGTGTTGCGAAGATGCTTTCTCATCCGAAGAAGATGCTCGTGATGAGTCGGTCGTTCCGAGAAGAAGTTGGAATTTCTCCGTTGTAACAGCTGGCAGTTCGCAGTTTTGTTGGGTTTTGTTGGGGAGTTGGAGTTGGAGTTGAGTTTCTTGGATTTGTGACCCACTTGTGGAGAGTCAAGACAAGGTGCCCGACGAAACCTGAGGAGGTCTTCGACTGGGAGACCCGGACCGGAAGAGGCATTCAGTTTCAAGCGGCCCCAAAGTTAGCGGTCTTAGAACGCCGCTGAAAACAAAACAAATTCTTTGTTACGTTCGTAGCGATGGCCTCCACCTTGCGTAGCTTCTTGACCACCTCTGTTGAAGACATACACTTCTGTTGAAGACCAGCCCCCCCCCCACTTTCCCGTATACACCACGAAATCGAACACACGCATGGATTTCGATCCATTCTAAGGATTTCTCCTTTGCAACATCCTATGAACCACATCCTTTACCTAAAACCTCCGGTGAGCTGGGTCACATGGCGACATGAAGCACACCCCCGGGTATCCCCTTCGATGGTCGAACAGATGCTGCAGAGGTCCGGCCATTTTGGGCCTCCTCACCGTGCCAGATGTGCCAAACTTTCGCACCAGACCGGATCGGACCTGCCGACCTCGCCAGTGCCGAGCCTCGTAATCCGTTGTTTGGCTGAGAACACCGACGTGGCAATGCACCAGAGCAACCTCTCATCAACGCACCACAGCTGAGATCACAGCATTTGCGCAGAGAAACGAGTTACGTAGCTGAGGAGTTTTGATGTTGGGCATTAGATTCTGCTTCTTTCTTTGTCGTCGCCGTTTTTCAGTGGGTCCTCATAGTCCATGTTGTTGGCGAGCAAACGAGTTGGATTCAGTCCAAGACATCGTTTCTTTTCGTCGCCCAAGTTCATCGATGGTTCTCTTCTGGCCCCTGGTCTGTAAGGTTCGGCTGATAAACAAAGTCGTTGGTCAGAACCACCTTCTCGGCAGGGAATGCCCAAAGGAGCCAAGCCGGGGCCAGGGAGCCCAAACCTCGGCCGAAAAGAGGGGAAAGCACATCTTTCTGATCTCACCCACCCAAACCTCCGTCAGCGAAAGCCGATTCTCCCCATTCTAGCCTGGAAACGGCTTCGAAGACTGGTTCACCTGCGTTTCTGGCCATGGAAGACTTGTGGCTGTTGAAGGTGGCGGCTGGGGTCACTTTGCTTGGGGTGGCCCTCATCGGAGGCTGGATGGGAGGTGAGGAAGGGGATTTTGGGGGGTTAACGCAGGTCGAGTACCCTGAGAGTCCTGGAGAACACCCCCAAACTGGTGGTGGATTTTTCCTACCAGGTACTTCATGTTCGTCAAGTCACGGAAGTTCTAGGTTAGAGAGTCCGTCAAGCGCATCACCCACACGACGGACCTTCGGCGCGTTCGGCGCGCGGCCGGGTTGGTGGGGTTCGGCGAACGGGTCGCGGGTGGGGTGAGGAGCTGTCGAGGACGGAATCCTAGATGAAAACCGATGACCCACTACCCACTCCTAACAAATTGAGATCGACGTGAGTCGGGCAGGAGTCGGGCAGGGCAGGGCCCCAGACATTTCCACACTTTGGAGTGTCAATTGCACCAAGTCATCCACCAATCCGACGAGTCACGGACCAAGCGCGGACCGCACGACGCGGCCATGACGTTCGCCGCGAGGGCTTCTGCCGCTTTACCTGGAGCGCGCTGAAGTGAGCAAGGAGTGTTTGAGTGGAAGGGGTGTGTTCCAGGAGGTTTGCTGTTGGTCCAAGGTTAGTGTGGAACCTGAGAAGTTCTGTGCAGCCTGGGCCTGAGCCATGATGGCACGAAGCATCCCGGTCTAAAGATATGATTTGAGAAGGACTCCACTTGTCGAAGGTGCCAGTTCCAAACAGCACAAAGATGTGAGGCGAACGACAACCCAGCAAAGAAGAGTTGGCAGGTCCACGCCAGAGTCTTTTTGGATCCTACAAAAGCTGATCCTAAGGACTTTGTGGGCTATATTTTGGAAGAAGTCAGCACCTCCGGTATGAAAAAGTTGAAACAATATGCTGACATGTTCCACATTGAGCCGGCAAGACCACGATAGGTCTCTGAAGACTTCAACCTGACCGGTTTGGACCACAAGCAAAAAGATTCGCACTGCAGGAAGGACACTACATAGGGGAATGATCTTTTGAACAAAAAAGCTCAGGAACTAGTGCTGTCACACTCGGTTTGACCGTCCGGGACTGACCATTGTTTCCTCTTGTGGACCGTTCAGTGCACTTCAAAACCTGTATCGATCATTGAGGGAACGTGATTGGCAAGCTGCTAGAAAACATATGGACAAACTCTGAAAGTGTCTGAAGAATGTCGTAACTTTCTGTTTGAGCATTCTCCCACCGCATGATCTTGGTCCGAACGACCACTCAAGCACTTACTTTCGCGTCGAGGTATTGAGCTTTTGGCAGCTAGTCCATGGAGATCAGTACATGCTCGGGCTCCAGTCACTTTGGCACAGTAAGAAACCAACCAGCCAGTTTCTTGGGGAACAATGACTTGGTGCTGAAGGCACTTCGTCGACCTTGCGATCGTCCGCATGAACATGAGCACTTGGTTGGCAATGATCGACCGGGTCCTAGATCTTGACAAGCGCAAGAATACTCCACTCTGATATCATCGAGACGGACCGTCTTCGTGATCGACTACTGTGATGAAGATGAGCTGAGTGAGATCTTTGCAAATGAAGACCTTCCGCTTCCGGCAGACGCTCACCTCACCTGCCACAGACTTCACCAAGCTGAAGAAAAGTGTTTGCCTGCCTGTGAGGGTTCTTGGCAGTCAGGCAAGTAAGTATCAGATCATCCGGGGTGATGGGCCAAGTTTTTCTCTTAGTGCAATGTCGATTGACTTTTGATCTAGACAGCACAGACATGATAATTGTGAAGTGTCACGACCATGGAGCCTGAAGACTATGAGCGGGATGTTCCAGATGGACTGCGCGATCTCGTGACAGTGTTCGCTTAGAGGAAAAGCAGGGACCTGGCAAGGTCCAAGCAGCGGTGCGTCGTGCTCATGAAGGTCTCCGACATCCCGAGACCAATCGATTTGTCAGGATCTTGAAAGCCAGCCGAGCAACGCCCGAGGCGATTGCCGCCGCTCGTTGTTTGAAACGTTCGGTTTGCCAGCTACCACACCAAATGCCAAAGGCGATTATTCACAGTGCCCCTCCTAGGGAAAACCTGCAGTTCGACTAGTTGGTGTTGACACTCGCCACCTTCGAGATCGCAAACATAGGCCATGCCTTTTCTTAACGTCGTAGACGACTCTTCGCACTTCCAAGTGGTGATCCCCATGCAGGACAGCGCGTCCACAGCTGCAAGAACAGGCTTTCGACAGTGGCTCAGAGTGTTTGGACCTCCGACACGGGTCTAAAGAGATCTGGGTGGAGAGTTCCGAGCAAGCTTCATTCATGCCTTGGAGGAAGATGGTAGTGAAGTGTTCTAAGTTCTAAGTGCCGGAGAACTTCAAACAAATTTCTACAAGACTATGACTACCACATCACGTGCCTCCGATGCTGAGTGGAGATCTAGCTGCTGTTGACATAAGTCGTCGTGATGAGAAACAGACTTTTGTTGAAGTTGGCTGGCTGGATGGGCGCCAAATCTTCCTCGAGCAGCCCCAGTCACACCTGGACAGGGCCTTGCAACAGGCCTTTGAGACGGACGTGCTGACGCCCAGCAGAAACCGATTGATTTCTACTGGTGAGGCCGCTAGCAATGCATTGTGGCTTCCTTTCGCAACACCATTGTCAAGGCGTCACCAGAACGGGTCAGACTAGCAAGTGAAGAAAAGACCCTGTCATTATCTCGGTGCCTCGAAGGGCCCAAGATCAACTTCGCCAATCGGAAAATCGCGGGATCATTGGTTTGTCCGAAGAGAGCCCTCCAATCGCTGAAGAATATGGACGATTGGACTCCGGATGACCATGATGAAGTCCCCAGTGATGACCTCCAGAGAACCCGGACAATATGCCGCCAGGCAATGAAAATACCACCGGTAACTACACCACTTTTCCCCGCCAACACGTAGAGTACACGCCAAGCAGTCAGAACCTATGGGTGCTCAATCAGAACCTCCAGTTGCTGAAGGCCCCAGCTCATCGACTGATCTGGCACCAGCTGAACCCGGAACGGCTGAGCGTTTCTGGATCAAGCGCGATCATGAAGATCAAGATGTTCCTGATGTTGAAGAAGCCAGCGGACCTCTATAGACAAGTCTTGGAAAATCTGCGCACTGCCGCCATCAAGAACATCACAATGAAAAAGAGAAGAGCACACCGCGAGAGACTTCAAAGGTGCTGATTTCCACCGACTGGCGGTGAACCAGAACCTGGAATCCGGCGCCTAAGTTGCTTGATCTTCAGACATCTGGAAAGGTCTGGGAAACCAAGGGCGATCGCACCATGGGTTCTCGCTATGAAGCTAATTGAGGAGTCCGACGTAGCCAAAGCAAGGGTTGAAGATCTACTCCTCGATGAAAAAGAACATGGACCTGCTAAGGCAAAGTTTCGGCATGTAATGCAAAGTTCTTCTGAACCAGAAGCGCTTCAAGTTGCTACAGCCACACCACAAGTGACCAGGGATACAGTTGTTTTCACTGCGCAGGACTCTGGGATTTTGGATGATGCACGGGCCTTTCATTCGGGAGACAGCACCAACCGAGAACAGAACTGCATTCAGCCAACAGAAGGAGTTCCTGGTGCCCATCCACAGCAATTGATTCAGCTTTTGAAGCATTGTTATGGGCTTACCGACGGACCACGTAGTGGTATGAGGAATGAGCGCCTATGTCGCCATTGGCCTTGCAAGGGGTACACACAGTCATAGCAGAAGGGTCAGCCCGCAAGCGGTATCCTTGGAATCGCTACAGATGACGTGGTCCACAGGGGAACGCAACAGCACTGGGATTTCATCAATCAGATTGCTCAAGACTATAAGCTCGGGAAAAACAGACCAAGAGCAGAAGGTTCACAGGGAAGGACATGACACAACTTCCTGATGGATCAGTTTTCTTTGGTCAGCAATATTACGTGGAGGATCGAAAAAGGAAGCAACGAAGATTTGCTCGGTGTACGTCTCAGCAGGTTGAATACCTTTGTGGAGCTCTTGGAACATTGTCCGGGCTCAGCAAAGAGACTCGAAGCGACCTAGCAGGACGAGCAGCTCTTTTACGGCAGAGTTTTCCTCATCCATGAGTCAAGGGCTTGGAAGCTGCCACCAAGCTTGTGCAAGAAGCTCATGGTCACAAACAACTTGACATATTGTGGCCCAACCAATTCCAATACAGCTCTCAGAGTAGGTGTTGTCAGTGACGCCTCTTGGCGCAACTCCAAGGAGTCTACTACAAGTGGGCTCGAGGGTGCCGTGCAATCAGAATTTCAAGAGGAAACAGAAGCAACATGGATTCGACATCACATACAAGAACGCAACGCATATTTTCATCCAAGTCTTTGTGCTGATGGAACAAGTGTTCGCAACTTACAACCAGTTCGTCGCACCGAAGGAGTTTTTTCCATCCAGCTTCAGGTTGCAAGATAGAAACGGACTCACGGAATGAGCCCAACAGCCTCCGCGGCACTAATGAACCCAGGACGGGAAAACCAGCCTTTCAAAAGGCCACTGACAAGAAGAAAGCGGTTCCTACTTATCAGATACGAGGTGTTGGACTGTTCTTTGTTTACTATGACAAACAGTTGTCTACTGCGCAGACTCCAACACCTGTCGCGCTTGCTTCATGGAAAGTTGTCAGTACATTGGGGGCTGAAAGTCTAGCGTTGATCAATGGTGTTGGTACAGTCAAATCACTATCGACTCCTGTTGTTGGAAGTGCTGAGTGGAACCTCGACCGACAAACAATGGGAACCCAAGCTACGAGAACTTCCTTTCATTCCTGTGATTGGCAGTAAGTCGTTCTACGACGCTCAAAGAATTCTTGTCCAGCTTCACAGTTTAGCGACAAGAGAGTTGCTATTCAAGCATCAGGGTAAAGTTACCAGATGGATTGATACGAGAGCGATGCTGGCTGACTCGCTTACAAAGGATTGCGTTCCAATGCATCTCCGTCACATCATGACAAAGGGTGAATGGGGCGTAGCGCTGCAGCTTAAAGCCTTAGAGTGCCAGAACGCCATGGGCCGGCGCGGGAAACCGCCAGATCATCGGTGGGGCCTGATCCTCGTTCATCATGACAGACTCAGACTTGAACCCCTAACTGCACACCCCATCTGCAATCCTTATTCGGTCATGGGTCCCCCATTGCCTTGAAAATCCGCCCGCGCCGAAGGTGCCGAGGGCGTTGTGGAGGCTTTGGGCAATCGCAAGAAATTTGCAGAAATCTGCGAGATAAATCTTAAGCTTTAGCTGGGGGGGGCCTCTTTTGTTTTTGGAAGTTGGACAAACATTGGACCAAACGTTAGCGATGCCGGTTATGTCGCCCGGGGAACATCGCATTATCGACATCGCGGATACATGTGCGACCTGGGACACTGCATTATTGACATCGTGCGTGTTTTCGTCCGTGTGTCCTGCCGGACTGAGACACGCTTGAGCCCTCCTCCCGGCGCAGGTTGCTGCCGAGCCGGTAGGCACTCTTCCTATGCGTGGATGGATGTCTATGTCTGTATGTGTGTGCATATGTTTACCCTTTACTCTGTGCGGCGGCTTGCTTCGACTGCGAAGCGGTGCGAACAAAGGAGGAATAAGATATCCCAGTGGCATTTTCAAGAATGGTGGCAGGAACATGAGGCCGGCGGGGTTTTGCTTACTAGGGACTTCATGAAGCTTGTGGGTAGCTTTTTAGAGAGCCGAACTCCTCCTGAAGCAGCAGAGTTCGTTTGAGTTCATTCGAGTTCATACGAACGCCCGCAGGGCTCACAGTTTGTTTCTGATTCTCAACAACTTAAGGGTTTGTTCAGAATAATTCATGATTCGATTGAGTTGTATGCACACCACACGCAGCGCCCACCAAGTCTTTTCAGAGACACTGTTTGTGAGACACTGGGCACAGACGAGAGGCACTGGGCACATGAGAAACGCATCGTTTCTGCGCTCACACCTCATACATTCAAAATACGACAAACATGATTCCAAGTGTTCCCATTGCAAAAATTCCTCAACCAGGACCTTTTTTTGGGGAATACATGGTTGCCTGGAAACAGGTTGACATATTTTAAAGGGCACTGCGGGACAAATGTTTGCTGGTGACCAGCAGGGCGCGCGAAAATGGACCGCCATGACCATGTCCTGGCTTGAGCCCGCTACTACTCTTACAATATTTGTTTCGCTTAGTAGTGCGTGGAACGTGTGAAACCAGATCTCGGCTTTCCCTTTCCAAGTTCCACCTTTATCCACACATTTTCGTTTCATCATTCCAGGCTTTCTTTTGAAGAGCTCTTCTATCAACCACCTGGAACTTCTTTCTAGGTTGTCCAAGCCACCCCTGCTATTTTGCCTACGTGCCAGGACGTGCTGTGCTCCTGCAACGCCATGGCGGGTGGGGTGCTACTGGCGGCCGCTTTGGTGCATTTGTTGCCTGATGCACAACAGGCAGAGCCGACATCGGAGGGGTGTCAAAGAGGTCAACCTTCGTGGATGTTTGAAACCTCCCGGCGCAGCCCCAAATGCCCAGCATGCCCCACTTGGTGAATATCATTGGAAGTACTGGTTGGGATCTTGCATAGGGCAAAACCTTATTGTAAGGGCTCCGCCCCCTGCCGCCGACCCCGGGGATAAGGCACGAGATCGCCGACGGCGGCAGAGTTATAGGAATGGAAGTAGCAGCTAGTAGCATACAACAGTGCAGATGCACACGACATCGGTCACGGTGGCAAATTAAGAGGAATGGAGGTAGCAGCTAGTAGCGTACAACAGTGCAGACGCACACGACAGCGGTCACGGTGGCAGATTTATAGGAATGGAGGTAGCAGCTATTAGCATACAACAGTGCAGACGCACACACGCAGACGCACACGACATCGGCCACGGTGGCAAATTTATAGGAATGGAAGTAGCAGCAATGAGCATACAACAGTGCAAACGCACACGACATCGGTCACGGTGGCAAATTTAGAGGAGCGGAGGTAGCAGCTATTAGCATACAACAGTGCAGAGGCACGCACAGAACAGTGCAGCTGCACACGACATCGGTCACGGTGGCAAATGTATAGGAATGGAGGTAGCAGCAATGAGCATACAACAGTGCAGACGCACACGACATCGGTCACGGTGGCAAATTTAGAGGAATGGAGGTAGCAGCTATTAGCA